TCATAGCTACAACAAGACTCTTCCCTTTCCACAGTCTGAGACCGTGTCTGGTTTTATCATCTCTTTGACATCTGTGAAGTGCTGTGTGTCTCCTTATTCCACTGATACCTACAGGAGTTCAGAGTGCCCAGCACCTTGCAGCATTCTGGTCTCCTGGTGTAAACTCATCCTTTACAAGTGACCATTACCAAAATTCAAAGTGCTCTTGTGAAGGCAGGAGATGTAGCTAGCTGCCTCTATTGGTGGAAGGAAAGCATCTGTTTCTCTGTTCTCTCCAAAAATGCTTTTCTTTTTCAATAAAGTCCAGTGAATATAAACTTGTACCCATAATTTTCATCTGCAGGGGCCTTTTAAAAAAAATGTTATTAATGGAATGGTGGGATCATTATTAGAATAAAGGTATAGCGTACACAGGACTCCGCTGCATCCTCAGACATGCAGTGATGTTTAAACAGTGCTGAGCGTTGCTGTTGCTAGCAGTATCTCAGCTGAGATGGCTTCATGTCATGTTGTACAATAGCAAATTTGTACTTTGCCCTTTATTCAAAGAAGGATCTCCAGGTCTGAGCTGCTTTCCTGGTTATTTTTCTACTTTCCATTATAGAAGATTTTCCAAACAAATGTTTAAGAGGCTCTGAGAAAAACCTTTTATTAGAAATTGTTCCAATCCAGTGTACTTAAATAGGGATTTTGTTAATAGTATGTGCTTAATTGGGTTTCCAGTTTCAAGCATTAAAAACCTTAAGGTTTTAAAGGCCTTTGTGTTTTGTTCTTGCCTCTAAGCTTTTGGTGGAAACTGAAGCTGTCATGGGTCTTTAAACTCAAGGAGTGAAGAACCTGTGAAGTAGCTGGAGTTTCAAAGCCAGAAGCTACTTTGGGGTTCGTCAGTAGAAATCTTTCACAATTGCAACTGGTGGTTCTTGATCTCTTTAGGATCCAAACTTTTGAGGTCCCCACCCATGTTTCTTCCTGTTGTACTCCTGCAGAGTTGTCTTGATTTCTGTTTCAACAGCTAGGAAGGATGTTAAACAGCAGCTGCTAAAATTTAGACCTTTTAAAATCTGCTGTACTGAACATGCATCTGAGAGTATTAGAAGAATTGGCTGAGGAGCTCTGAGCTGCTCCTGCTGTTGGTAACTACCCTGGAATATTGGGTAAATCTTGGAGGACTGGAATAAAGATACCAACATCTAAATTGGGTAAAATGGTATGACCAAGGCAAGTATGGTAATTTCCTGTTACTTCAGCATGAATTCTACTAAAATCATGACAGGTATTCGTTACGGTTGTCGTCTGTGCTAGCTAGATTCAAGATGGTCTTGGTGTAGCTTCTCATGCTACAGTCACCTGTCTTTTAACTCTGTGGACATAGCCTGGCTCGTTCCATGTGAGGCTCTTGGTTTAAAATTTTTGCGGCAATGCAGACTGGGCTCTTATTTTTGATTCTTCTTTTAAAGAGTTCAATTCAAGACTGTTTTGCATTCAGGCATTCTCCCTGGAGAGGTAAAAGCCCATCTGTGCTCATGTGAAAATGGTGTGTCAGCAGCGCCAATTAATGGTCGCAGGCCTGTCACAGTAGGAGGCACTGGCCCTTGGTGCAGCCCTCTTTGGTGCAAGAAGTGGCTCTGAGCACTGGGAATACTGTTATCATTCACCGCAGGGCTTCTCTGCGGCAGCTGCTCACCAGCCCCTTTCTGGCCTCCCCTGAATGGGCATAGGCAGAATCAGCCCTGGGGAACCTAGTTCTGCCCAACTGTGGTGGTGGAGAAGAAGCACGATGGGTACCTTTGTGCGTCTGACCTGAGGGAGGCTGTTCGTCATGCAGGCGTGGATCGCCCTGCAAGGAGAGTGGAGCTCCGGCCAGAGACTTCAAGTTGTGGGAGAGTTGACAGAATTGGGATAGGATGTTGAGGATGTTTTGGGAGACCAAAGCACAGCTGTGCGAGACACCTCCTGGGTAAGAGAATTGTGGACTGAATCAGTTTTTTCCAAGGTGAATTTGGATTGGATTGGCATGAGGATTGGCTCAGTGGCTTGGAAGGGGGGAGCTGAGGGAAGCTCTTATCACTAGTTTATTCAGGAGAGAACTGAACTTGATCAACCTGAGCAATGCTGTGTTTTCCGTAGCAGTGATCTAGCAGCAGCCGGGTATCCCGATCGCCTCCGTGTTCTCCTGTAGTACACTAGCGAAGGTCAAGCACTGGGGAAAGAGCGAGTGCTAGTGGACGCTGGGCAATGACTCTGCGTCTTTAAAAACAGTAGAAAAAAGTGAATGACCACATGTGATGAATCATCATCTTTTACATTCTTTCAGAGAAGCTGCTCAAGTTTCTTAGCGACTTGCTGAATAAGTGGTTGCTGTTTCCTATGTGTGTACAAAGCAGTCTCTTACAGCTTCCTAAAGTACAGATTAGAAATCTGAAAACAGGAAAAGGCACATGTCGACTGTGACGTCGGAGCTTCAAGTGTTGCTTAATTAACATCTGTCACCCGTGGGTGTCTCGGGCCAGATGCTGACCTCAGTCAGACTGATATAGATTGGGGTTGACTAGGAAATCTAGAACTAGATGAGCCTGAGTGGCATTGTTTCAATTTCTTTGCTTCTGAGTTTCCATGCATTGCTCACTGGCCTAGCATCTCTTTTTGGGGCTGCCTGGTTAGAAATTGAAATAGAGACTTGATAGGCATTAATCAGAAATGGTGCTTCAAGTGACAAATGACGAGGCAGCAGTGTTCTTGACTGTTCACTAATAAGCTCTGGAAGCAACTTTAGTGAGTGGACTCTGGGTTAGTTTAGACCGCTGGTTCTCAACATTTCTAGACATGAGGCACCCCTCAAAAAATGCCAGTTCTTCATTTTCACTTTTTTTTTTTTTTTTAACCACAGAGAAACAATCGATCAATTTTTTTTTCTTGCAAAGAACTTGGAAAGACCACAGCTATGGATTTCTATTTGAAATCTCCGGGTTTATCTTGAGAATCATGTTTGAAAACCTAAGAGTATTAACGTTGTGTGACACCCTGCAGCGCTCTTGAAGGGATCTCACGGCACCCCAAGATACCATAGTTCCCTGGTTGAGAATCACTGATGTGTTGGCTCCCATGATTCATCCTGCAAGACGCTAAGTTTTATGTTGTTTTAGTAACTTCTTAATGATTGTGAAGATAACCCTTCAGCTGTTTCTGGCTGTGTAAAACAGTTTCCACAAGGTATCAGCTGGCAGCTGTAATGGGTTGTTAACCATCATTTTATAATACTTTATGAGTCAGACATTCCAATACCTTGGGTGCTCAGTTGCAATCCCAACCTGTCTAAATCAGTGGTACTCAGCCTATAGTCTAAAACCCAGATCTGGAGCGCCGAGCTGTCAGCTGGTCCATGGGGCTCCCCACAGGTCCAGAAATTGTCTGTGGTGACAATTAATGTTGCCACTGCTGCTGGATTTCCAAGCGGCGTGGGCCAGATCATGTGGCCTCATTCTCTGGATCAGGTCAGCATGGGGCTGGAGCAACAGGCTTGATCTGGCACATACAGGGCTGGTGTAAACTAAATCTCATACCACTCATCTAGCTGGCACCCCAAAAAAGTTGGGCATCACTCATCTAAATTGATCCAAACCTAGAAGACAGGTTAATCGTTGTGATTGTATGGCTGAAGATCTGGGTTAGGTTGTGATCCTCATTGCTTACAAATGATGAGTATTGCATGATCTTATGGAGATCCTTGCTTTGTTGCTGCTTTTGAACTTAACATCTCTTACCATGAATATTCAGGGAGTTAGGGCTATCTCTTGGCAGGAAATAAGCTTTTTTTTTTAAAAAAAAAAAAAAGCAAGAACCATTGAAGTGTACACATGCTAAAGTTTATATAGCATGTGCACACTTGTACTCCTAGCCCAGCTTAACTTTTATTTCCATCCTCCCCTGCTAGTTACATCCTGTCTAAAATTTAGCATGCAAATCTTCAAGGCACACATCTACCTTTCTGTGTGTTCCCTAAAGTGCCACATACATTTTTGTGAGATATATATTTTAATATCTGAAGTAGAAATGAGCAAAATCCGAACTTTTTTTTTTAGCTCTGCATGGGACTAGTTTGCGGTGGGCAATTGTTTTGAGCAGAGGGCCGCTTACTGAGATTTGGCAAGCCGTTGAGGGCTGTATGACAGGCAGCCAGGGGCAGATAAATATTAATTTTCTAAATGTTTTAGGGGCCCCGCGGGCTGGATAGAATGGCCTGGCCGGCTGCATTTTGCCCACCCCTGGACTAGTTACTTAAATACATATACTCTATAGTGAGATGTTTTTATAAGGTGTATCTAATGATATTATTGTAGTAACCTGGCACCATGTTTCAGTAGGCACAGTGTAAAAAGAATGTGGAAATGGAGAGTTCGGAAATAATTAATCCTAAGAAATGCAAAATAAAGGCAAATCACCAATTATTAAAACATACATGTGGTTCAGTGAGGTTTTTGATATAATTATATGCTTTATCTGTAAGCTATGAACATTAGCTGTGCGTTTGAAAATAAAGTCTTGTTATCAGGAGTAGTTTACGTATGCTGATTCCTCAAACCTGTCATACTAGGTATAATCCCTTCTTCATGTAGTTAAATTCTCCACAGTAATTTGCAAGGGGTGGTAAAATGGGAATATTTCACAGGAAACTCCAAATCTGATGCTAGGAGATGGTGTATATGCTCCTCAAAGATCTAACCGTTTCCTTTCCTTGGCTCTTGCGTGGCATGCCCCCAGTATGGTCTTTATGTAAAAGAAAGTGCATAAACACTTCAGAAAGCTGTAAATTCTTGAAATTCTTTTTTCATCGTTCAGTGTTCAGGAGCGTAGGTAGCTATTCCAAAGACGAATCAATGAACCAGGACCCCAGAGCTGAGTGCTGTGCTGCTTGGAAGTTCAAATTGCTAAATGCACACTGGTAGTAACATTTATTTCCTATTTCTGCTAACTTTGTTCCTTCTTTTTCCCCTCATTTCTAGGAATACATTATTCGTGTGCAGAGAGGGATTTCCATGGAAAACAGTTGGCAGGTAACTTCCTCTTAATTTAAGATCCACCAAAACAGAAGGTCTTCCTAGGAAAAGACAGTATTTGAGTTCATCCTGTCTGGTCTACTTTAAGCTAGAGATTGTGCAATTTTAGAGTGAAAATCAGGAACACTGAATTCTTGAACGTGCTTGGTCGTGAACTTTGTGTTTTGTAATGATCAGCATGAAGACTTTCAGCGATCAGGGTTTCCAAATAAACAGTTTGTGTGGCCTGCTTTCTTATGTTTGCATGACCTAAATGGACTCACTTGTGGCCTCTCGGGCTGAGTGTTACTCCCTGTCTGTCCAACTACTTTTTTCAGGGTTGGTCCATGGGTAAGTGCTGTCTGGATGAGTCCTTTAGTTTCCAGTCAACTGACATGACCAAAGTCCTCATGTTTATCCTTCATGCTTATTGCTAGCATGCTTTTATTTTTTTAAGTCTTGAGCAAGAGAAATAATCATGGTTTTGTTTTTCTTCCACATGGTTTGGTTCAGTTTTTTTAATATAAATTGAGATTTTTTGGAATAAACTTTTTGGCTCCTTATTTAACAGTTGCAAGCTTCTGTACTTTTGGCCAAAGAGGAACATTTTGGCTAGTTCCTTCCTTTTAGAAAAACAATATAGCTGCTGGAGTAACAGGGGACCTTGTTTTCTGCCATGGTGAATGTTGGAGGCCACACAGGGAAACAACCTGTGCAGTACCTTCTCATTATGTATCTGTGCAAGGATGACAGCCAGTCTTTTTGTTTTTAAATTTAAATTGTGGGGACTGAAATCTGCCTCTCTGCTAGTCCTGGAGCAGTCTTGGCCAGACCCTGCTGTACCAAAAAAAAAAAAATCCTTAATAATGGCACTGTCATCTGAAAAGCTTCTCTGAGGGCTTCAGGGAAGAGTTGAACTTATTCCTAAATTTTAAGTCTATGATCTTGAAGTGATGTTGTCCTTAACATGCAAGAATTGCAAGGTGTCTGCAAACAACTACAGCAAAGCTGTTGTAATATCAAACTACAGCTAGAAAGCTATTTTTTGTACAAGTTCAGACATTACCGTGAACAACTTGTCTTCTCTTTTGCTTGCTGACAGAGCAGTATAAACTTATTAGTTGTGGATTTCTACAGAGAAGCTTAGAAGAGCTAAGGTTTTAAGTAGGGATTGTTTCCCCCTTGCAGAGTTTTGTAATAAGTAAATTGAATGATAAAAATATGAGTGTTTCCTCAATGTTTTCTTTATATTTTTCAGATTGTGAGAAGATACAGTGATTTTGACTTGCTTAATAATAGTTTGCAGGTAAATTCCCGCCCCCACCCCTTCCCCCTGATATGTGAGTTTTGTTTTATTTGATATTCTGTATTTTTTAAATAAGTACTTTTTTGTACATGACAATGAACTGAACAAGAAAATCATAATCCTTATATGGATTCAAAGGAAAAGACCTCAGTTACAAAGACTACTTTTTAAACAAACAGCAATGCTGGTCTAGGTTTTACCATGGGAAATGGTGATTGTAGCCTCAGTATGACAAGTTGAATCCAAAGACAGGAGATTCGCTGGTATTGAATCCTTCCCTGCAGCAGCGTAACTTGTTTTGGAGTTGTGTGGTGTTACCCCTTTTTTCTTTCACTGGAAGAAAATGGAGGCACATACTGACCTTTTTAATTAAGCACTGCAGTACTATGTCTCTTATTATTTGTCTTTCTTTAAAAGCACTTCCAGATGCCGCTTATCATGTGATGGTTTCTGTATCACAGCAAAATGTTCCTCAGTTAAACAGTGAACCTACTGTGTGTTTTCTTTTCTTTTTTTGGACAGTCGCTTCTTTTAGTTTGCATGGGAAAGGACAGGGTGCACAGTGACTGGCATTTACAGCAGGGAAGCCTGGAGCATAAGAAACACTCAGTCTAGTATCAGGCAGATAACATATGGTGGGAATGCTGCTGATCTTTTAAGAATAGATTTTTATGATTCACTTTTCCCCTCCCATTCCCTGTCATGTGTAGTGTGAATGCAGGACCTTAAGGCTGCTTTTGATTTTAATTTCCTTGCTGGAAAGATAACTGACCACTTGGTGAAGTGTAGTAGACAGGAATGTGCAAGAGTGAGCTTGTGATGTCTACCATGTCAAACACAGGTTTTGGCGTGACGGTATAAGCAACAGCAAATAGACTGAGGGCCAGATGCAGTGTGGTGCAGCTCATTTGAGTTTGTTGGAGGATCTGTGATGTAGTAGTGCATGAGAGTCGTACTCATGGGCAGTGCTCGTATCACTATCCTTGGGACAAGCTTATTTTAAGTAATAGAAGCTGCTATACAACTTGTGTAACTGCCAGCCTTTGGGAACACACTTTTTCACTTTCCATTGGCTGGGAGTAAAGACGCATCCTTTTTCTTAGGAAGTCCTTCCTGGCCACTGTGGAAAGTTGAGAGATTCTGTGCTCTGCTGCTGACCTACCCCTTCCAGCCTAACTCCTTACTCGGGCTTTTGTGAGAGTCTTCAAAGAGACACATTCAAATTACTTTTTCCATCCACTGCTCCACTGAGTTCCATACAATAGCTCCAGCATTGCATACAAATGTGTAACTTCGTTGATTCTTTAAGAAGCACAGTCCCTAGTTGTTGCTGTTTGGAGTTTTGGAAGCAACTTGTATGGATGGTAAGGCCTTGGACAGACTTCAGACACTTTAGCAAGCTTAAACTCCTCCTGTAGGGATTAATTATATTTCAGAATGAAAATATGCGCAAAATCTTGATGTGTTCCTGAAAGGCAGGACTATGGCTTCTCTTGGGTGCACAGCTGTAGGCAATCCACATTCCTTACTGCCTCTTGCTTCTGGCTGTTGTGCCTGGACATTTTGAATAGCTTGGCTTTTCATGTGTTATCTTTTCTGCTTTGTTACCTGATGCCACCTAAAAATAATAGTGAGCACTAGATTTTTCAGAGCTAATTAGCCTGGTGAGGCTGAGCTGGGCTGATCCCTCTCAGATTGATGAGACACATGGCAGTGCCCCTGAACCGCACCAGAAAATCCCAAACAAAACCATCCCTGTTATACTTTCCATCTCTTCCCCAACTCTGCATATCTTTAGCTTCTTTAATGAGAAGTGCGGAAATCATATGTCCATTTAATCTCCATTTTGTTGTGTGAGCTCCATATATAATATTTGGCTAGAGGGTCAGATGACTGAATTGCAGTATCTGGTTGCAGTAATACAGTGTATAAGCAAGGCTTCGGAGAATCCTGTGGTTTAAAGATAAGAAGGTTACGGCATTAGGTCGTCGTCTGGCAAAATTCTCACTGGCCTCAGTGCTGAATTAGGGCCAGTGGAAAGTATTCCCTTGGGCTCTAAAGCATGCACGTAAGTGGGTGCAGGGCCAGGGCCTCAGTGAGATGTTTCCCTGGTAAACATGTTCCTAATGCAGTGTGTGTTTTGGCAGACTGTATTGTAGAAATCTGAGGTAAATGCGTTAGTTTTGGCTTCAAATTAAAAAAAAAAATGTTTTGCTACATCAAGAAGCTAAACCTTCCCCAGGTGCATGCAGAGAGAGTTTTCTGAAAATGATCAAAAGGTCTAAAATCGAGAGCCTCTTCTCTGTGTAGCTGGTGGCTGGCTCTGGGGGAAAGAGGAAAAATACTGACTGTGATCTGATATGCTTTCCTATTGACTCGATTATTTCAGAATTGGATGCTTTTCCAGTTTAGAAACATGCCTACAACACTTTGATCTCAGCTGCATCTTAATTCAGGTTCTTGCCCAGACAACAGCTTGCACGCATGTCTGAGCTGAAATTCCACTGGTTCAGCTTAGTCTGTAAGTGCGGTGTTTTCTCCCCCCCAGAGTGCGTAGTGGTCAGGAAGATTTGCATTTGTTCCTGTAACTCAGACATGGCTTGCTTTTTTCATACCAGTGTTTTGTCAGCCTGTGATTCATACTCGGAGCCTGGGAGGAGGGACGTGAGGAGGAAGAGGAAGGAAAGGTGGGAGGTATCGTCACAAAGTGACAGTTTCTTTTTTTGAACAGTTCCTTTTTTTGGTCTCCCACTGGTGAAAGTGAGAAGTGAGGAAGGTGGAACCCCCAAAAGTCCCTGCCCTCCAAATGGCCAAACAGGTCTCTTTAGAAATAAAGCTGTTGTTTGCACAGACTTTCCTTTTCTGCAGCACACCTCTAAGTATCTCTCCTTCCAGGGGCTCAGGACACGTGAGGCAGCTACTCTTCTCTGCTGAGCTGGGATATGTTGAAAAAAGTAAAAATATATTTTGTGGTAATACACCTGACCCAATATACGCACATGCCGCACCCTATGTGCAGCCTACTCTGTTTTGTTTTGTTTTCCCAGCCGTGGTCTGTGGCGTGTGTTTGTTTCATAACCCTTTGCATTTCTGCCACGTCTTTCATCCAATTTCTGTGTATTTCTCAAACATTAACTAAAGCCTTGCAACACCTAGAGACTGCGTTGTCCCACTTTCAAATGGGGCCACTTCAGCTGTGCTAGATTATGCTTGTATAATATTACATGATAATAGATTTAGCTTAAGAACTGAAGGTTATCTAGTGTAATTGAAACTGCATTTAAAAACCCTTAACGTCAGCTTCTTTAAAATTGCCAATAAGGGCAGTGGGTGCAAAAGAAACTATTAACAATCCATGCAAACTTATATAGGAATGAAGAAAGTTCATAAGGAGCAGATGTAGGCATTGGTTTGTGCTGTGATGAAACCATGACATGAACATTTTATGGTGGGTAAACACTGTAAGAGTTTAACGGTCTAATATCTTCAGATTGCTTTGGGATTGAGAAAACACAGTGCAATATTCTTATTTTGCTAGTGTGGGACATGCAGTTAAATACCCTTGTAGTTTCAGTACAGTTATAATTCCAAATTTTTACATGCAGAGATGAGACTACATCTCAGACTGTTTAGTCCTATACAAACTTAGAATTTAACACAAATAAAATGCCAACATAAGTCCTTATAAATGCATATAATTTTGAAAAATCATCTGGCTGTTAGAACAGCACAGAACCGTGTTCTGTGGCATAAGCATTTATTCCTATTAAACATTTCAAGAAGATGTGTTATGATACTATTTTTGTTTTCTCTCTCAGATATCAGCTCTAAGTCTACCTCTGCCTCCCAAAAAGTTGATTGGAAATATGGAGCGTGAATTCATAGCTGAAAGACAGAAAGGACTCCAGAGCTATCTTGATGTAATCACTACCAATCACATACTGTCTAACTGTGAACTGGTAAAGAAATTCCTGGACCCAAACAACTATTCTGTAAACTATACTGGTAAGTGAAATATTTTTAAATGGCATTTACGAAAGACCACTGTTTTCCTAGCAGCCGGTAACAGAACACAGATGAAATTTGTCACAGACTGCAGAAAAAGACTAATCTCATTTTGCACATGTCTCATTACTTTTTGTGGCTGATTTGTGGTAAAAGGGAGAGTTGGTGCTTGAAAGGACTGGCTGTTTACTGGAGTGTGGGGGAAGATGAAAAAGTCTCACTGTACTGCATATTGTTAGACAGCAAATGAGGACTCCTTTTTTCATGGTTCAGAGATGATAAAGTCAGATTCATTGCGATCATGTATTCTGACATTGTGTATTATGCAGGCTGTAGGGTTTCCCTAAAATAATTCTTGGGTGAACCAAAGTATAGCTGTTGAAGAAACATCCTGAAATGTTAGATTAAAAATTTTCAGTCAGGAAGAATCCATCACAGCCACTGGTAAGTTGTTCTAGTGGTTAATTACCCTCATGATTAACAATTTCTACTCTGAATTTGTCTAGCTTCAGCTTTCAGCCATTGTTTTCTGATCTGGCAAACAAATTCTCTGTTATCAGACTTCTGCTCTTCACATAGTTGCTAACTGATTTGTTTGTAAAGTATTGGGTAGATGTATTGGCCATGTCTCAGCTCCTGTTGGATGCATGTGAAATCCTTTGATTGTGTATCTTGAGTAAAGGTGGTAGGAGCAAAATTTAAACTGGTGGGTAGAAAAATGTAAAGAATAAGCCTGTCTTTAATACTGCTGATCATAGGATCGTAGGACGGTAGGGCTGAAAGGGATCACAGTAGTCATTTAGTCCAGCCTCCTGCTCAAGGCAGGATTATCCCTGACTAAACCATCCCTGCCAAGGGTCTGTCTAACCTGCTTTTGAAAATTTCTAAGGGTGGAAATTCCACAGCCTCTCTAGGCAGCCTGTTCCAATGCCAGCTCAGCCTCATAGTCAGAAATGTCTTCTTCCTAATCTCCAACCTAAATTTCCCCTGCTGCATCCTGAGGCCATTGCTCCTGTTTCCTGCTTCCTATGGCCACAAAGAAAAGCCCATCTTCACCCTCTTTATCACCCTGCAAGTACATGAAGACTGTGATCTAATCCCCCCTCTGTCTTTTGTTCTCTAGGCTTAATAACCCTAGTTCTTTCAGCCTTTCTTTGTAAGTCTCGTCTACATCCTTCTTGAAGTACGAGGCCCAAAACTGGACACAGCACTGCAGGTGAGGCCTCACTGGTGCCGAATGAAGTGGAAGAATCATTACCCTTGATTTGCAAGTGAAGGTATCATCTGCACTTGATCCCAGCATCCAAATCATTAATGATGTAGATGTTGAGCAATACCAGACCTAATAAATAACTAATCATGCTGACATCATTCTGGGAGCTTGCTCAGCTTCCTGATTATGGACCAACCCTTCTCATTTTCCCTATTATTTCTTGACTTTTGTGTTCCTTCCATCCTTCCCTGTCTACCAAGCAAGGAGAAGAGGAGGGAAAATGTAATGTCATGGAAACTGCCCAAACTTGAAAAATTTTGACTTTTTAAACTGTCCAAATGAAATCAAATGGTGGTGAAACTTCTGTAGTGGGAGACCAGAAACTCTTCTGATCTGAATGACTGAAAACAGTTTGTGCAACCCAAAATACAGAAACACTAAAATACAATAAAAGCAGCTCACAAATGGGTCCATAGAGCTCTTGCTGGTTGTTTACAGAGTGCTCTTAATCTTGATAATTCTAGGTCCTCTCTTTGTCTCTGACTTGCAGTAAAAACAGCTGAACGTATATTAAATACTGCCTTACCAGTGATTTTTTTTTTCTTTCCTCTGTCACCCCTTACTTATTTGTAGTTAGCTTCATTGCAGTGAGGTGGGTGTGAAGGGTGCTGAAGGAGGTCCTCAGGATTGTAGTGAGAAGCGGGTGGTGGTCAGCAGGCACTCTCTCTGGTAAGCAGCAGTTCACGGTGTGAGAACCCAAACGTATAAGACTTCCAGTACCCATGTAAAAGGGGAGCCTCCTGCACCCCTGAAAATGAACTTTTGAACTCTTCAGTCTAGTAACTTTAACCCATGAATAAATTGAATATCCATACCTCCCTCAGAAGATATAGAGTTGCCTCCCCTATGAACTGCAAAGTGCAAACCGTATTTTCAGAAAAGCCCAACATGGCAAAGCAGAAGTTTATTGCATGTGTTCCATCTGTGTCCTTGCTCTCCTGTTGTGAAGTACCCTAGAATCTGCTGCATCTCAGCTGCAAAGAACTGTCCTTAAACACTCTGCTCACCAGTTATGGTAAGTTGTGGAAGAGACCTGAAACCATTAGTAATACGGACAGTGGAGATTTTGTAAATACTATCGCATCCATATTGGTTCCAAATTAGTTCATGAAGATTGCTGTTATGGCAAATGCCAACAGAATTTTATATGCTCAAGTCAGTGCTCAGAGTCGTGGCCAGACTGGTCGTGTTATGCCCAGGCTAGCTAACTTCATGCTACAACAGGTGCCAAAGTGGAGGGGGGGTGCTGAGACCCTGGCTGCTAACGCAGCCTGAGCAATAAGGGTAGTGGTGGCCTGGTGGGAGCCTGGGGGGGTGGTATTTAAACCCCTTGTGGGCTGCATGTAGCCCACAGGCTGCTAGTTGGACAGCCCTGGTTCATGCTATTGGACTAATGAACAAATGGCTTGCACTGTTTCTCCCTTTCCCCAACACGCTTCCACACACTGTTCTAGCCATGCTAGGAGAGTGGGTCAGATCAAATACAGGACATTCTTATGTGCTTATGCTGTTGGTTTCTGTCAAGCTCAGTGATACTGGAGAAGTTTCATTGCTGGCACACTTTCCTCCAGCCCACCAGTTGCACTGCAATTGCCTTGTGAGCTCTTGGCAGAACTGTGTTTCCAGCTGTGGGAGAATGCTGTCTGCCTCCAGCCGTCTGGAAGGATCTCATTCTTTCAGAGTTACTTGCTGGATACTGATAGTGGAATGTCTAGGAAAAGTGAGTGCCTTTGACCTAGTCGGACTTTACTGTAGTGGAACTAACAGTGAATAGTTTGCATATAACAATGAGTGAATAAACAGAAATTAGGGAGACCTTAAATAGTGCCTTAGGAACAAACAGCAGAGCTCTTTCTTGACATGGTGTGATGCAGCCCAGCTGTGGGGAATCCTCGCTGTGAGCTTTTGATTTGGTTTTGAACTTTGCTAGTTCTAAACCTGTGTGTTTGGACTGGGGATGCAGCTCAGGTTCGCTTCTAGCACAGACCTAATGCAAAGTTAATGAGCCAAGTTTTTCTAAGCCAGACGGCTTGCACTGTTTTCCTTGGGGACCTGGACTGTTTCATAGCAAGGGGCTCGAATGCTTTTTAATCATCTTTGGTGACTTGATATGTATATTTACCAAGTGCTGCCTTGTCATGAATGAAGTGAAGCCTGAATCCCTGCAGGCTCGCTTCTGGCCGTGAGCATTCAGTAATGTGTGTGCAGTTAACAGACTTTCAAATATTTCTTTACAGAAATTGCCTTACAGCATGTTTCAATGTTCTTCCGGTCAGAGCCAAAGTGGGAGGTGGTAGAACCACTGAAAGATATAGGTAAGAAATCAGTAGCTTGTGCCTGTAGCAAAGGGGGAATATATTGTTGCCATTCCTTGGGGAGAGAATGTTTGTCAGCTCTCTCTCCTTACATATTTCATAGGTATCCTTCCATTTAACTGGAAAATCATGAAGGCAGCGGGTTTTTTCTAACTTGCCACAATGTTGCTAGTATTTATACAGGTGAACCTGATGGAGAATGTCATGTTTCCATAATGATACCAAGCAGAGAGGGTTTAAGTAATTGATGTAACTTTCTATTTTGTCTTGATTTTTGTGCATTGGTGGCTACTTTACTGAGAGACATACCCAGGCAGATCAGAAGACATTTTTTTTCTTTAAAAAAATAATACGTAGAAAATTAACTTGTAACCACTTCTGTGATTCAGTGGCTGGTCTAATGAAACTGTGCTGACTCTATTTCTAGGCTGGAGAATACGTAAGAAATATTTCTTAATGAAGATTAAGAATCAACCAAAGGAGCGACTAATGTTAAGCTGGGTATGCGTGCAGATTGTATCCTTCTTTCAGGTTCTTAAGACAGCTAAAAAAGGATAAGCCAAAGAAATCTGTTGCTTGTCCCCCAACCAAGCCATAAACTGTGTTAAGTTCATCTTTAGTACTTTTAGGGATGCCTGGCTGTGTATCATTGTGTCAGGTTCTAGATGTGAAAAGCAGAAGCAGGTAGACTTGGGAGTCTGGCCTTTTGAAGGATTCAGTTGTTGCTGTGCAAACTAAGTTAGTTAGCTGTGCTAAATTACTTAAAGATTTGTTTCTTTTCAGGATGCATGCAGAGTTACCTCATGTTAGCATTGCCCTTAACTACTCTCTAGGGGTAACTTTTGCAGAAGCAGCATTTCAGTGACTTTATTAATCAATCCTTTATTAGTCATCTTTTTTCTTTGTGGAATAGAGCTGATGCCTCTCTGATTTTGCCTTTGTATTTACTTCTAGGCTGACCTAGGCCCTGATAAATTCTTGTCTGACAAAGAGTTGCAATGTGCTGTGAAACTTCTTTCTGCTTGCTCTGTGAGTATTACCTTGGTGACTTCTACAGTGTGCCAATCAAAATGATCCCTGACAAGGGTTAATCCTGCAACTGCATGCAGTCTAACAGAAAAGTATGTTGCACTGTAGTTGTTCAGACCCTAATTAAGCCTCCCACACTTTTGTAAGACAATGTTATCTTTCCTAGAAAGTAATGCCAGGAATTTCAAAGCTATGGCAGATGATGGTGCTTTTCTCTTACAGTATTGTGGACAGATACTGGGAGTTAATGGCAGATCTAATTGTAAATCTCCAAGATTTTCATGCTGCCTAAATATAATTGTTTATGACTGCATCGGAGGTGTCTTAAGGCTGCAGTGCATATCTGTGTAATGTTTGCATTAGGACGTGCGAAAAACTTTCTTTAGAATCTGGAGATGCAGTGGGAGGCAGCATTGATAGCATCCTGTGTTACAGGGACTGCTGCAGGGTGGATCCAGCAAGCAGGTTCTTCTGAATACAAAGTTGTATTTTCTGCTTCAGTAGGAGTCACAGCTTTAGGACTCTGCTAAGCGTGTGACAACCAGCTGGGGAGGGATGTTCTGAAACTATGAAACATCTGTGTGCAGTCCTGGAACTTGCAAACAGACACGCTTAGTGGAGTTGTTAGCTAAGAAATGCACCCCTGCTGAGGCCTTGCTCTTGCTGTGTCAGTTTGAGGCTAATCTTATGGCCAAATTTTCAATCTTTTGAAATTGGGAGTGGAAAACCCACGTGAAACTTGAAACAAGTTGCTGCAGGAAATAAATAGCCCCCACTTGCACAGAATTACTGCAGAAACTTCTGAAGAGACTATGAAATCACCATTCAGTTTTTTAGAATTCTTCTGCCTCATATGCCCAACCAAGGATATCTTCATACCGTACAGTCCCTCAGTACTTGCAGTAAGGCTGCTCACTTGAAAAAGTGTTTACAGGACTGAGTCTATATTACCTTTTAAGCAGGAAGCTATGAATCTGATCAGAGATCAGCAAGACAGCCACACACAGCACATTTGGGCACTGATGGGGATGGAGGGGTTGCGGGAAGGGAAGAGATTGCAAAATCCTCTGTTCTCTTCAGGAGTGTTTTATGTGCATCTCTCATTTTGGATTACAAAACCTAATTCAGCCCTCACTGAACCGTGTAGTAAAAGTCTTGTTGATTTTGATGGAAGTCAGATAAAGCTCCTGCTATGGTAGTTTTACAGATAGCCTTAAGTCTGGATACTTGGTAAAGTGATGTCACTAACAAAAACTGGTTTGTCACTTTGAACAAGTAATTAAAAACCTGATATTACTTCAGGGTATCTGTACTCTGCAGCGTGAATTGAGTGAGAAAAGTGAATTTGCTGTAAATTAGGTAGCTAAATGTTAATAATGGCCTCTTGTCTTGACAGCACCCTTACATTTACAAGGTCACTTTTGCTACAGCCAATGAATCCTCTGCGCTGGTAATCAGACCATTCAATGAGAAAGGAACGCTAAAAGACCTTATTTATAAGGTAAGGTAGTTTTATACTTAAATCAGCTTAAATTTAGGAAAATATTCTGCTATGTTTGGTTACTTTGTAGTCGGTAGAATATATCTTATAACAGTAAAAATACCTTTTTTATCATATACAGTTGAATAAATCAAGATGATTCAGTTTCTTTCATAGTTAACATACTAAAGGTAGCATTTTTTTAATGTTCATTCAAACTATGTATTTCTTTTATAGGCAAAACCAAAAGAGCCATTCCTGAAAAAGTACTGTAATCCCAAAAAAATCCAAGGTCTTGAACTTCAGCAAATAAAAACATTTGGGAGACAAATACTAGAGGTATATGGCTTTTAATGTTAAACTATCCTTGCATTAAAAGGGAGGCTATCACCTTGAAAATGTCCTTGTGCATTTTATATCTAAGATTGTTGTAACTGCAAGAAGTTAGCATCTTTCCCCCTTTTTAGCTAGTTTGATTTTGTGCATGTGACAGCACTGTACGTGCTTTTAGTTCCACTATATGGCCCCCCTTCTGCAATAAAACACTCCCGTCAAGCCCTCAGTGATGTAATTGGAACTCTGCAGAAGTGCCAGGATCTGCCTGTATGAAACCACTTCCTGTGATGGGGACTTGCTCACTCGGTGTGGGTGCAGAAACATTTATTGATTGGGTGCGGGGGGAGAAGAGAGGAGACCCTTATTACCATTCTACTGCTTAAAATGGGTACAGAATCAGGAAGTTGATTTTTTTTTTCCAAACTGTTTTTTAAACCATTAAAATTGACAGTGTTTTCTTTAAATCGTACGCTTGCCACAGCTGACATCAGAAAATGTTTTGCAGACTTCAGAAAATACCTAACCTAAACACTTTGTTCAGTGAAAAAAGAAGTTATCTAGTTTAAATAAAAACACTTTCTGTGTCCTCTTATCCTTAGTACCCTCCATTTAGCCTACTATTTCTTGTTTGATGTCCAGAAATGGAGGTTTCTGGGAAACGGGGGTAGAGGACTGTGGGAAAAGAGTTCAAATTTGCTTCAGTTCTTTAGGGCCCTCTCCTGGGGCCATGGAAAAAGAGCACAAGTGAGCATCCTGCAGGACAGTTCTTGTGGATGAAGATGGGAGCTGAATGGGTGAAACTTAAAGCTCCAGATGCTGGAGAGCTTATACATCCAGTGCACTCTCTTTTAAATAAGTTTCATGACTTTCCAAGCTCTGCCCAAACAGACTCCCTTGCATTGACACCTTTTTTCCCCTTTCTCTCTTTGTTTAGGTATTAAAATTCTTGCATGAAAAAGGATTTCCGTATGGCCATCTTCACTCTGCCAATGTGATGTTGGATGGTGATGCATGCAAATTACTAGATCTAGAGAATGCCTTGCTAGGACTTCCATCATTTTATCGATCATATTTTTCACAGTTTCGGAAAATTAATGTAAGTTATTTAAAAAATAAAGGCTTGAGTTGATATTTTGTGTGTGAAAATTTGTCACAGATGTGATAGTAAGACAGGCTGTGCTAGACAAAAAACAAACAAACCAAAAACAACTTAGTCTATCAACCCTAACAATATTGTTTTAATAATAGCGCTGTTCTGGAAAGTGCATCTTCAGTAGGAGTGTGCTAGATTTAAACTCGATCTCTGGAATGAAATGGGGATTTGTTTCTTCCTCAGAGATAAGTAGGCTGGAGGCATTATATAGAATTCTAGCTTTCCCCAGTTCATACTCGTCTCTTTACCACGGGCAGTTTGCTGTGTTTCTACAAAAGATACTACATTTAATGCCACCACCTCTGTTGGCAAATCTACCTTGTTGCACTGTAGGGTCTTAGCCTGTGTCTTGTCTTGCCTGCAAGTGTTGGCTATAATAAATCCCAGATGGGATCACACGGGACAGCAGGTGCTGACCTTGTTAAGCAGGTTTACTGCATTGTAAAGAAATGACGGAAAGTACCTGGTTAGTCCGAATCTATCATTGCCATCAACATTTACTGATGTCTTGGCTGATAAGTGAACCTACTTCTGTCTGTTTCAAAATGCAGTTCCCAACCTGACAACTGTCCCCTTTTAACGTTTAACTCTCTATGCTACACACCCAAATCTACTCAATATGCGCTGGTGTTTTGTACAAACAATGGTCTTCTGGGGGGACTTTTGTTTTTGTCTGCTTGTCCTCTGGCTGGAAATCAGTGTCAATTAGTGCTACTTCATTAAACCTTGTTATCTACTGTTAGATGTGCTAGGGAAATATTTCACTTCAGTATAAGGTTTTGAAGAATGCTCCTTGAATATTTTGTACAAATAAAGATTGTGCTGGCAAGACTACATTTGGTCAATAATTAATCTGTAATGTTAATGGCATGAAAAGTGTCAGGTGGATACTTCTTTATGGGAGTTATTCTAGTTGTATTACAGTAGTGTGTGCATTCAGCCTGAGTGCACTTTGTACATGTGATCTGATAACTAGTACTTCCAAGTTGTAACACATAAATAGAAAAGACAAAGGCTGAGGAGAAGGGCGTAGTCGTCCCCATCCATCAGATGGGGGAGTGGAGGTACTAAGGGAAGTGACTAGGACAGGGTTACACAAAGAGTCTATGACAGTTGGGAATTGAACCCAAATTGCCAGAGCCCAAAGGTAGTGTCTTCAGCATAAGACCACACTCTTCCTCTCATGAGTTAGATAGATTTGAGAATATTGCTGTGCGTAGTGTGTTGGTCTTAATGAGCTGTTTCTTCTTCTGCAGACGCTAGAAAGCATTGATGTTCATTGCTTTGGTCACTTACTGTATGAAATGACTTATGGGAGGCCTCCAGATTCGATTCCGGTGGACAGCTTCCCTCCTGCCCCATCGCTGTCTGTTGGTCAGTACGCTGTTGTTGAATTCTTGTCCTTTGCTTACAAATGTTTCTTACCTGCCTTTCCTTTTAATCAAACCAAAAGGTCATATCATATTAGAATGCAGTAGAAACCTACCCAAAACGTCCTGTGCTTTTAGAATGTGAATTTGATGGCTAGGTAGTTAAACTATTTATTAAATTGAGCAACTGCAGTAAAAATGTATGCTATTTGCTTGTTTCTTTACTGAGAGGTTCCTTTATCACAAAGGATGGATTCTTTTCTCCCACCCCCCTTCCAAAAAAAAAAAAAAAAAAGAGTAAATCATATTTATCAGTCCTTACCTTAGTAACTGCACAGTCATTAGTCATCTGTTTAAAAATTACATCTGCAAAGGTCAAACTTTAATATTAAACACACTTGAAGTATGTGTACATGCCCTAGATTCATCACTGCAGTAGTTGATAATTCCTAAATTGAGCGGGGAAATGGTCTACTGGTGTGTTCAAGCAGTATAAAAATGTGCAGTCTTTTTCTCTTTGTTCTTCAAGTGTCTGTGTTGGAATCCATACTGTCATGTGACGCCATGAAGAATGGCATGCCAACAGTCTCCCGGCTCTTACAGATGCCGTAAGTCCTCATTGTCTTGTTTTTGTAATCCTTATAGCAGTGTTAACATGGGCAAAGCAATTTCTGTGCTCTCACTGTAGATAATGAACATTTCCTTGTCACTTTGGGGAAGGGGGAGAAGGGGGTAACATCCAAAATGAAGCCATTTGTGATCATGCTTTACTTGATCTACATCACTTGTAAAATACGATTGATGTTAATTTGTCTGTTTTACCCCTTGGTATATCCTAGTGTAAGTGCATTTACCTGCACGGATTTGAATATATTGCTTTGGTTATTTAAATGGATGTAGACACCACACTTCCAAGTGCATGTACCAGTTTTGGGAGGATGCTTTTCAGATGCCTAACCTAACGGATTTTTTGGTTGCTTGTCCCCTTTCCAGAAGTTTTGAAATTAGATTTTTTTTCTGGTAGCCTGAGATGTGATTTGCAAAATGGATTTTGTTGTTGTGCTCGACAGCAGTGTTCCAAATAAGGTGTGGGGGAAAATGTAACTTCAGTCCTTAAAATGACAGGCTAGTGTCAGGGTATATCATCTGCCCTCCTTGGGGACACGATGTGAAGTTCCCTATTCTCTGGATGGAACTAATAAAGTCATGTCTCTGTCCCCCCTCCTTTTTCTTTTCTCTGAGGCAGAGGGAGATATTAAGCAGTAAATAAATATAACAGGAAATTTGAGCATTTGGAGGTTATGCATTTAGAGAAGATGATTCATGTCCAGCCTGAACTGAAGCGTACTATTTTATGCTTCATTCCTTTCACATTCATTTTATGTGCATGTTCAAGGCATATGTGTGTGCCAATCCAATGTTTATTCTGTGTCAAAGTACGTTCCATAGAACAAATCCATTTAACTTTGCAAGGGCACATAATTAAACATGGGCGAGGGGAGAAGAAAGAGATCTGCAAACCATTTTTTAAAAGTCCTTTACTACCTTAATCTCACTTCTGTCTGAATTTTTCTACCTGCTGCTGTTCCTAGGTGTCTGGATTGGGGAATTTAGATCAGCTCTATCGCTATTGTAAACTTGGGACAGTTGGCAGTAGTTGCGTGGGTGTGGGTGCATGTGTGTAGGGTGGAAGCTCTAAACCATTTATTGGTTGTGGGAAGCTGAATTGTGACTCCTGGAGAGGTTTCTAGAAAGTCTTCCAAAACCGAGAGAGGATATAGAAAAGTGGTGGCAGCTCCACTTCAGACTTCATATCACCGCTGCTTTTAGTGTCCTTCAACCTTGTTCTGAAGGGAGAGGGTTAACCACGTGTACTGTTGCTCCTCTCGCTGAGGGGAGGGAGTGGATCTGAGAGCACCTGGTTTCCTTATTCTGTTGCTTCAGTTGGAGGGTTGGTTAGAGTCCAGCCACGTAGCAGTCTGGTTTTGCTCAGATACTTTCCAAGTGCATTATTATTTTGAATAATCTGTAATAATTGTGTAACGTGAGAACTGTTTCTCAGGAAGAAGGGCTGTTTTTTTGGGTGGCATGAGAAGCAAAAGCCCTTTGTTGCTTATTAAAGAACACAGAGCATTTTATGCCAATACCTACCAATCCCTACCTACCAAAATGACCCGTCTTTCCATTGTGTAGACCAGTGGTGGTCTTTTTTGGCAGGAGTGCCACTAATTAGCCCCATACCCTCTCTGTGTGCCACTCTGATCCCCTTCCCTTACCTGCTATGCTTCCCTTTCTGCTCCCTGCTCCCTACCCAGTTTGCTGGTTCATGTTCTGCTTTCTGTCTGATCTGCTGCTGTACTGCCCGTCCCCTCCCTGATCTGCCATGCGATTCGCCCAGAGGGTGCCTGCGCCACTTGGCGCACATGCCGCAAGTTGCCTGCCCCTGGTGTAGACTATTTCTTCAGGTGCTTTCCTGCAACTGTTCAGTCTTGCTGGCTTCACATCAAGAGTGATGACGTTTCCCTCTTGGGTGGGTTACTGCTGTTTGTAGAGCGCAAGCTTTCAGGACGAGAAGGCAACATATAGATATCAGCACAAATATAAGTAGTAGCAGGTGAGGGAGGGGTAATCCTTTTCCTGTCCCTACCACTCTTGAAAAGAGTGTACTGATCCTAACGTATTCTTTCAGATTATTCAGTGACGTTCTGCTAACAAATTCTGAAAAGCCACAGTTCAAGGTAAAATTGACTGACATCAGCATGTCCTGGATCATTGCTAAGAGCATGTTTAGCTGGCTAGCCTTGGGTGTTGACTCCAGCCAGCCAAAAGGGGCAGGGATTAGCGAATGTGAGGTGTGGGAGAGGGTGCTTGGCTACGTTGGGTCCTGAGAGGCAGCACTGCGCAAGAGAGCATGCTCGCAGGGGTCCTCCAGGGCAGTGTCCCACAGACCCGTCTCGTCAGGCGTCCTGGGAAGGAGATGGCAGTTGCTGCTCCTTTCCAGGGAGGGTGGAACAAGCAAAGCAGAGGCTTTTGGGGGGAAGGGCTATGGCTGCTGCTGAGGCTACACAGCACTGAGTTCAGCAGTTATTCCATGCTGACTTGGCCAAGGTGCTTGTAAACACCAGGCAAGAATTGTGTAGCCTCATTTTTCTTCATAAGCATTTCCACCTGGCTCAGTACATGCTGTCACACTTCAGAGCCTGACCCTGCCAAATGACTTGAGTGCTCTTGCTGGGTAAGTGTTCTTGCTAACAGTGACTGAAACCCACCTGTGAGAATTGATAGAACCACTCTGTCGCCTATCCACCACTCCACAGGCCAGTCAGCAGCTGTTAGACTGCACGCTCGAGTGCCTCACCCATTGTCCATAATGTTCTGTCCTCATTGTTGGACCCCCGCTATATTTGGAGGGCAGGTTGCTTGCAGTAATTCCATGTTTTCCACTAATATTAGAGCCTCGTCACAGATCAATACGTTCTTCAGATTAGAAGTGGGTATCTAATAGTGAAGCTCTAGATTTAAATTTTGGTTTGCATGTTCCCTACCGTGATCTTTTTATTTTTCTCATTTACCAGATTCCCACTAAGTTAAGAGAGGCATTGAAAATTGCCAAGGAATGCATAGAAAAGAGACTAACTGAAGAACAGAAATTGGTAATTTTTCCATGTGTTGTCTGGTTCTCACATCATTATTTTCTCCTCCGATTATTTCAACAACAACAAAAAGTTTTTAAAATGAAAAAAAAAGTTTGAAAACAAATGTTTACAACACTGGAAGAAACTTTAGAAATACAGCCCTCTTATTTTCTTTATGACTTGTTCTTATTGACAAGTGCTTGTTCTTGACAAATGCACTAGTTGCAATCAATAGTCTATAATATATTGGTTACATACATTATGTCTTAGTAGACATCAAGAGGCTGTTGAAATGCCTGGGTGAGTCTGAGTCATAAAGTCTGGATGCAAAGCCTTGGTCCTTTTAAAACCTGGGCTTTTTTCCACAGTCCATTTTAGGGAATGTCCCCCCTCTCCCCCCTTCAGACTTGGAACAAAAGCTTCCCCAGTTTCAGTAAAGCTGGTGTCTTTGTGCTTGTTTCAGGCCCCTCTAGCTGAAAAAATGTCAGTAGTGCAAGCCCTCTGAACACTTATTTTTGGGAGGCTAAACTTTCCAATCCTTAGGAAGAACAATAGTGTTGTTAAAATGTATTTAGTTGCAGGAGACTTGACTCTCTGATCCCACCCACTTCAGAATATATCCAGTAATCTTTTGATGTTACAGCTGTTGTATGTCTGAAGTGCTCATTGTCTTTAGCAGTGGCTCCAAAGACATAGTGGCTCCAGTCAAGCTCTGAGACATTATAAATCTAACTTTGTTGCAGGGACCAGGGCGGATGGTATCTCTAAACCATTAATGAAGACATTTTGAGTATTTAAAAAAACATTGAGAACTTTCTCTAAGCCTAAGGGAATGCTCTCCCTCTGAGATCAAAAGTAAAGATTTTGACTTTATATGGCTTGTCTTTGGTGTCTCCCCTTCTGAAGATTCACCAGCACCGAAGACTGACACGGGCTCAGTCTCACCATGGTTCTGAAGAAGAAAAAAAGAGGCGGAAGATCTTGGCACGAAAGGTTAGCGGGATCTTTCAGAACAAGTTTCTTGCATGCAGAAGTGTGCGCGCATTCTGGAGGAAGAGGGTGCTGTGCATGCGAAGGTCATGAGAGAAGTGTTGCAGGAATTTATGCACACGCATGCATGCCCATGCACACAGCCCCAGGACATGCTGGCTATTCTCCGAGCGCTTTAATTTGTGCAGTCAGGTGATGTGCTGCAAAACAACATTTAAGCGTTGATAATTAGTTGACTTTGCTATAACCTTGAGTGAGCCAAATAAACCTCTCTGAGAACTGGCTGTATGAATTCATAGAGTTCACAGAACAGCCTGCTTGCATGCACTTTGATTAAGGTGGGCATCATGAACTTGGCAGATGATATGGCCATAAAGTCACTCTAAGTGGGCTGCTGGGGATATACTCCCGAAATGGGATTCCTTGCCTGATGTCAAGTTGGTGTATGGCTTGTGATGTTAGGGAATCCTTTATGGAAGGGGTGGGAGTAAAACATAGGTGGTCCTTGAATAACAGTGGTGGAGAATGATTTCTTGTCTTTTCCTTTTTCTGCTTGATTCAAGAAGTCAAAACGCTCAACCTTTGAAAGCGGGGAAGAACATTCAGCAAAATACAGCAACTCAAATAATTCAGGTAACTGCAGAAAAAACCTGTTTTACCACCCTTACTTCAAAGTCTTGGTCTTCTTTCTGAACTAGATCATTTGCTGGTTAGGTCCAGAATCTCAGTGAATTGTATACCTTAGAGTAAGATTGGAGCATGAAAAAGCTGATCCTTGTCTTCGTTATTTGTAAAGATCAAATTATGTGCTAAAAAATGTAGTCGCTAGTTAGGTTTTCACTTAAGTAACTATCTCAGAGTGGTGTTTGACCCTCTGATGGAAGGATCTCTCTTTATAATAGCACCCATTCAACCCCTTTGAAACTTCATCCCCATGGCAGTTTGTATTCCTCAGTAAGAAGTTACACAGACAAATCGATGACCTGCTAAAAAGTTAACCGCGTTGCTGTCCAGTTCTGCAGAGGACTGTTTGTGGGGAAGTTTCACCTTACTGAACAATGTAGTTGTTCAGGCTGTGTTTCTTTTTTTTCCCCTTGCAAGGCAGTTAGTTAAGTGTCTGTATCAAATGCTTCCAGAACTCAGCCTGTCAGGAAACAGTCAGTTGTTAACATAACTTGTGATGCTGACGCAAATGAACTGAAAATGTCTCTTCTAGAAGCAGAGATGTGGTCAGAGCTGCAGCCAGGGAGCGCACGTGTCTCAAGGACTGCAGAACTTGGACCTAGAAATGCCTCAGCCTGACCACTTCTGAAAAGAACTGGTCCTTTCTGGGGAGTTCTGCCCAGAGTGATTCATTTGTGCGGGGCTTGTTCTGCTGTGGGGTTTTGCCCTACGAAGTGTTTCTGCTCAGAGAGGGTCTGATTCTGCTACCATTCATGCCTTGCTATCTGAGGCAACATTGGTTCAGCCGTCAGTAAAAGGAGGCTGTTTTCAAAGACCC